GAAGGCTCAATCTATAATTCATTATCTACTTTGAGAAGAGAAAGGGGGAGAGATTAGTAATGATAGGGGTCAGTCAGGTGGGACCAGGATAGCACAGGGCAAACTGGACGGTATGGACACGGTCATTTTTAGATACCTTAAATTCCTTCCATTCTCAACATCTCCCTCCTCATCAAAGAAGCTAAACATTACCACCACCACCACCACCAACAACAAAAACATTCCTTCCCCCCTCCCCAGTCCCCAAGTCCAGGAGGCCGGCCACGTGTTAAGTAGATGGTACTGGAAGAAGGACTGGAGGTACATACCCCTCCTGCCACCCCTCTGCTGACCTTTTGGCTAAACTTCTTGAAAGAATCATCTGAGTTCACAATCTCCTGCCATGTGTCTCCACCATGCCATCATCCTGCCCTGGGGCCAGGTCACTTCCAGACTGCCCTGCACTGTRGACACTGGCCCTTTCTTCCCTCTGACTTCAAAGCCACACGTGACCTGCTGCTCACTCCCTTTCTGGTCAGCTCTGCTCTAAACATTTCTGTGATGGGCTCTTGTTTTCTAGGCCACATCCTCTAGCTACCTCTCTGCCCTCCTCTTGGATTTCTTTGCCTCCGTCCTTCCTTTAATATTTTCTGTGAATGAATGAAGGAGTGAACTATGTCCCGGAGGACAGGGAGAGAGGGAGGGCACAGGCTGCTTTCTCARAGGGCCTAGTGGCTTCAGCCACGTTCTCCCCCTGCCTGGTACATCCAGTCAGGCAGCCCAGAAGGGCCCCATGCCSCTCTCCCCTCCAGAGAATTCTCTACTCTTACCCTCTGTGGCTCAGAAAATGACAGTGAGGCTTTGGAGCTCTTGGGGACAGTCAGAAATTGACAAAGTTGAGAAGAAGGAGGAGGAGGAGAAGGAGAAAGGAGAAGCTGTGGCCTCCTGGGGGGTCTTCATAGTTTGCAAAATGAATGAATGAGAAACGAGGAGAGCAAGACCAGAGGGCACAGCAGGGATGCACTGTCAACACTGTGTCCCCAGGGCCCTTCCTGGCACTCTGTGTTTGTTCAGTATCTGAGTGTCCGTGGCTCCTAGGACAGAGTCAAACCTTCCTGATTGGGGGCTGTGCCCATCCTCTGCCTGATATCTGGCCAGCAATTGACACGTGGTGGGTGCCTCAAATATGGGTTGACTGTCCCTGGAAAAGACATTTTGGTGGCATCTAATAATGGTCAGTGAAATGAGAAACTGGGGCTCAGGCAGTAGCAGTAGCTTCCAGGATTCCCAGGCCAACTCCTCCTGAGGCTGGGATCCGGTGTGCTTCCTTYTCAACCCAGGCTCCAACCAGGGCCTGCAGTGGGTGGCTGGACATGGCAAGATACTCATACCCTTTAGGATCAAGGACAGGGCCAGCAACTCAGGAGGTCKRGGTAGGAGGATCACATGTTTAAGGTYAGSGTGGGCAATTTAGCAAGAYCCTGTCTCAAGATAAAATTTAAGCTGGGCACGGTGGTGCATACCCCGAAATCCCAGTGGCTCAGGAGGCTGAGGCAGGCGGATTGCAAATTCAAAGCCAGCCTCAGCAAAAATAAGACGCTAAGCCACTCAGTGAGACCCTGYCTCTAAATAAAATACAAAATAGGGCTGGGGATGTGGCTCAGTGGTCTTGTGCCCCTGAGTTCAATCCCCAGGACAAAACAAAACAACAACAACAACAAAAAAGGCTAGAGATGTGGCTCAGTGGCTAAGCATCTCTGGTTTCATTTCCTGGTACCAAAACAAACCAACAAACAAATAAATGAAGGGCCAGGAGTATAGCTTAGTGATAGAGCAATCGCCCAGCACGCATGAGGCCCCCGATTCAATTTCCAGCAACCCCTGCGTGCGCACTCATGTGCACATGGCCCCGATTCAATTTCCAGCAACCCCTGCGTGAGCACTCATGTGCACATGCGCACATGTGCACGCATGCGCTTGCAAACTTACGTGCACAAAGGAGGAGAAAGCAAGGTTTAGGAACACAGCCTTCAGCCCGGTGTCCCTGGTTGGTTGAGCCATGAGGTTGGGAAGGCACGTTGGGAAAAACCGTCCTCCCCTGTCTGGAGAGGCTTCACATGCTGCTGTGCTTCTCTYAGGACAAATGCCTCCTGTACCTCCAGGGACAGTTGTTTTTCCCGCAGAACTGGGCATTGAACCCAGGGGCACTTGACTACTGAGCCTCATTCCCAGCCCTATTTTGTATTTTATTTAGAGTCAGGGTCTTACTGAGTTTCTTAGCACGGGGATGCTTTGCCACTGTGCTGCATTCCTAGCCTTTTTAATTTTTTAAAAAAATTTGGGACAGGGGCTCACTAAGTGGCTTAGGACCTCATGAAGTTGCTGAGATTTGCCTCAAACATGGAACCTCCTGCCTCCCAAGTCACTGTGATTATAGGTGTGTGCCACCATACCGGGTTCCAGGGACAATTCTAAGTCAGGGGGCATGTACTACAATAACTACCATCGTGACTGTTTAGGTCGAGTGCATTTCCTGAGTGCACTTTCTCTATGGAAGTGCCCTTCCTCTGGGGTCTGCTAGATAGGTGGCAGGGTCCAGAAGCTCTGGCCCAGCAGTAGAACTGGGGTTCTCCTGTGRAGAGGAGAACCTAAAGCAGCTATCAGGAGAGAAGAAAGGGATTAAAAGTTTAAGAGTGTGTGGTCAGCTGTCCTTCACGTGCCCTGAGGAAGGGCATCTGGAAAGGAGCCCACAGGTGCCATCGCTGTCTGTGCAGGCAGATTTTCCTGCCAGGCTGATGGCATTTCCTGGGGACGTGTCACTGATGGTTGGAGGGGGGGGGTAGTAGGTGGCATTGTCCAGGGAGATGACAGGACACTGGCCAGAGATATGTAAAAAGGCCCCAAGGAGACTCTCAACCAGGAGAACTTCTACTGGGGGGGGGGGGGGGGGGGGGGGGGGGGGGGGGGGTGTCTCAGGGACTCAGGAACATTCCATTTGGAACAGAAGAGACCCAGAGCCTCTGTCTTCACAGACTACATTCCAGGGGATTGTGAACTTGAGAGCAGGAGCCTTAGGTGGGTCTTTTGTCTTGGGATCTGCATCTCTCAGCTTCTATTTAGAGTTGTATTGGGTAGTCTGGGCACAATGGCACATGCCTGCCATCCCATCCACTGAGGAGGCTGAGGCAGGAGGATCACAAATTCTCAGCCTCAGCAACGTAGTGAGACCCTTCTCAAAAAAAAAAAAAAAAGGTCTGGAGTGTGGCTTAGTGGTAGAGCATCCTGGTTTTAATTCCCAGAACCAAAACAGAACAAAACCAACAAGGGAAACCCCCAAAGCATAAAACAAAACAAAGCAAACCACCTGTATGGATCCAGAGTTCTTTCTCTGAACATTTGCAAACGCAGATGGGGAAACCCGTCAGAGGTTGTGTTGACCATGAACTCATCGGTGGACCAGAGACAACGGAGGGCCCTCCGTCAGAGGGTCCACAGACACATTTGTGGTCTTGGTGTGTAGCTAGGGCCTGGGATGTGGGGTTGGTTTGGGGGATGACTAGGCAGCACTTCTCTGGGCTGCCGGGAAAAGGGGGCTGGCAAACAAGTTACCACTACCTCTGAGAGGTTCTGGAGGTCAGACCCTGGCCGCCCCCTTGTGCCCTCCAGCACTGAGACCCTCCCTCCGGCCCGTCCAGGGGTCCTCTKTCCTTCAACTGGGTGGTGGGTGGTTCCACCCAGAGCTGTCAGCCATCTTCCCAGCCTTCCTTTCACCTGTCCCTCAGGCAAAAGCACTGGCCTCCGCACTCCCTCCGCAGAGGAGGCTCACAGAGCGTCAAGATCACGTGGTCGGGACAAGGCCAGGCCTCCTGTTATCTGTCCTAGAATACGGTGGGCAGCTTGGTTCCCTTGAACACCAATCTCCCTTCTGTGAGCCCAGCCGCACGGCTTTTCTTGTCCACACCCATAGAAGGAAGGTCCCCAGCTGGGATGGGGGAGGGCCACACCCACCCAGCGTGGCTTGAAACCCAGGGGCTTTGGGTTGGGAAAACCATCTACTGTCCTGCAGTGACCCTGCCATGTTTTCCTGGTGGAGCAGGGTGGCTTAGAGGCTAAGAAAGTCCATGTTCAAGACRGGRAGGTCGCTASCTCAGGAGCAGAGCACTTACCTTCGTGTTCGTATGCGCAAGGCCCTGAGATCAATTCCCAGCACAGCAAAACAAAACAAAGAAACTCAAGGTTAAGAAACAGTTGGGGGCAGGGCATGGTGGTGATTGTCCCTGGTCCCAGCTAGGAGAATCACTGGAGGCCAGGATTTTGAGAACAAAAGAAACAATTGGAGGAGGGGCAGTGGGGACTGGAAGGCTCCCTCACGCTCTCTGATGGAGGCAGTTTCTTGGGGGATCCATCGGCTAGGTAGGAGATGTCCTCCCTAAGGGTTAGGAAGGGAAACAGGGAGGGGTCAGGGAGCTGCCTTCCAGACGCCCCCTCCATTACCAAGCCTGGACTAAAGCAAAACCCAGAGGGCAATCGGTCTAGCTGGTGCCCCTCWTGCCCCGGTCAGAAGACTTGGCCTTGGTGGCAGTAAGGTACTGTAGGAAGCGCCAAGTTCTCGCTTACTCGTGCACTGGTGGGGCTGCCATCATCGATGAAGGACACGGTGGAATGGGTTATCAGGCCATGGTACTTAGAGTGCCGGATCCAGGGCTTGCCACCGGGGGCAGTGAACTTGTAGCGGCCACCTGTTGTTAGGCAGGTAGGTTGGAAAGATATTTAGGCTGAACAGTTATTGCAAAGCGCGGGGAATCCTGATCTGAAGCTCATTGATCTAAACAGTTTCCTTGAGGACTCAGAAGKCTGCAGAGGTGATAAGGGTAGAAACTTGCTCAGGACTGTGCCTCCGGGCCCTCAAGGCCACCAGCATGCCCCAGGGCTGGGCGTCCAGCCCCGCCCCGGCCCCGCCCCCGGCCGCGCCCCGCCCCCGCTCGCACCTCCCTGGCACTGACTCTGCCGTGTGTCCACAGGCTGCTGAACAGGATGTCCGCAGACGACCGGCACCTGGGCTCCAGCTGTGGCTCCTTCATCAAGACAGAGCCGTCCAGCCCGTCCTCGGGCATTGATGCCCTCAGCCACCACAGCCCCAGCGGCTCATCGGACGCCAGCGGTGGCTTTGGCCTGGCCCTGGGCACCCACGCCAACGGTCTGGACTCGCCGCCCATGTTCGCAGGTGCGGGCCTGGGAGGCACCCCKTGTCGCAAGAGCTACGAGGACTGTGCCAGCGGCATCATGGAGGACTCGGCCATCAAGTGCGAGTACATGCTCAACGCCATCCCCAAGCGCCTGTGCCTCGTGTGCGGGGACATTGCCTCTGGCTACCACTACGGCGTGGCCTCTTGCGAGGCCTGCAAGGCTTTCTTCAAGAGAACCATCCAAGGTGTGTGGCGGGCTGCGCAGGGCTTGGGTGCAGGGTGTTGGGTGCAAGGTGCTGGTGGGGGTGCCCTGGCCCCCTGGAGAGCCGGGCCCTTCCACTTCTGGCGCCTGGATGCAGAGCTTCTGAAGGGCCTCATTCCTATGGCTCAGGGCCTCTTGSGTCTGAATTCTGGACCAGGACCCAGAAGCCCCAAAGAAAGTTCACACAAATACCTAAAGATGTGTGCCTCTCACCTGGTATGGGGAACACCCAACCGTGTGCCCCCAGCCAAAGAAGTTGTAGTGCCGTGGTAGAGCGCTTGCCTAGCACAAGKGAAGCCCTGGGTTCAACCTACAGGTGTGTGTGTTTGTGTGTGTAACAAAGCCAGTCGTGGCGGTGCACGCCTACAATCCCAGCAACTCAGGAGGATCCCAAGTTCAAGGCAGCCTCAGCAATTTAGGGAGACCCTGTCTAAGGGGAAAAAAAAGATTATTTTTAAGTCATAAAACCTATCATCTTGCCCTGCCTTTTCAAACCTAGTGGAGTATATATAAAGCATCCTTCTCTTATTTTTAATCTTTTGTTTTGTTTGACCTGTTCTGGAGGCCTCTTACATGGTAGGCAACTGCTCTACCACTAAACTACATCCCAACCCTTTTTATTTTATTTTGGGATGGGACCTGAGTTGAGATGCCCAGACTGCCCTTGAACATGGGATCCTCCACCTCAGTTTTCTGAGTTGCTGAAATTGCAGGCWTGGGCCGCCACACCAGCTTGCTTTTAACTTCTTTTTTCTCCCCCTGTGGTGCTGGGGATCAAACCAGGGCCTCAGGCATTGGAGGCAGGCACTTTACCACAAACGAAACTCCCATCTCTGTTTTCATCTTTTAATTGCACAAGTAAACTATGAATGTTTTCTCATTGTGGAGAATGCAGACGTGTCTGCAATGGGACAGATGGTTACCATGTTGGGATCCTAGTTTGGTTTGGCGGATCTTTAAGCTTTTTCCCCGATTCATTTGCATATTAGCTGAATCATGCTCCAATGACCAGGGGGTGTGTGTGTCTCTTTCTATGGGTACTGGAGTGCCTGGTGGGTCCTTCTGTATAGTCACCCACAGGTCAGTTAGGGGTATTGGTGGGTACGCCTTCACAGGGCTGATATCAAGTTCATGGCACCCAGAACCTCTGTGAGTCTTACTACAGCAGGGCTGGGGCAGAGCACTTACTTCCGTTCATTCAGCCAAGTTTTCTATGGAGCACCCACTAAGTTCCAGACATTGTTGTAGGTGCTGGGACAGCATAGACAACAATCCGTGCTCCCCTAGGTACTTGAGAGGACCTGGTGCCCTCCTACCAGACACTCAACTGCAAATCAGATAGAGAAACCCAGAGACCTCTGTCCTGTCCCTGATCCTTTGCCCAAGGCCCTCTGTCGCCTACCTTCTTCCCCCAATTTCTCTTTTAGCAGAAGCAAGCTGAGCTTCTCTGGGAGGATTCTGTTTATATTCATTTAATAAATATTTGTTACGGTTTCTTCAGGTGACAATTTGTTCAGCCAGTCGAAGGCATTAGGGTTGAACTTTTTTCAGGTCTGTGTACTAGATGATGATGAGGCATGGGCCAGTCACCTGGGCCCCTGGGTCAGCCCTTTGCACCCATTACCTTGTAGCTGAACCTTGGGTGTGCTGCCTCAGAGTCTGTGTGTGCTTCCGTTTCTTCTCTAACCATTCCTACCTCACATGGACCTGTAATGATAGATRAGCAAGTTAGGATATATGAAGCACTTAAAATATTGCCTGGCATCTAGGAAGTGCTAAGTAAAGGTTTACAATTATTATTATTTTTGCCGTACTGAGAGTTGAACCCAGGAGCACTTTACCACTGAGCTATATCCTCAGCCYTTTTTGAATATTATTTTGAGACAGGGTCTTGCTATGTTGCTTAGGGCCTGGCTAAGTTGCCGTGGCTGGCCTTGAACTTGGGAGATCTTCCTGCCTCAATCTTCTGTGTAGCTAGGATCAGAGGGGTGTGTGCCATCGTGCCTGGCTACAATGATTATTTTCACTTTAACAATATCACTTAACATATTTTTGATCTTACAGAACCAGTTTTTRTAATCTACATAAACTTATTTTCTAAAAATTTGGGTGGTGCTGGGGATCACACAGYGAGGCTAGTCATGGGCCAGCTTTATACCCCCTGCACGTGGAGGAAGGCCTGGGGTCTCCATATTTGAAATGTGTTGTGTGTCTMCTGCCTTAGCCATGAGTGAGAGCCTCCTGGCTGATGATCTTGTTATGAGTCAGTGGATATTTGACACCAATTTAAAAAGTTATGGAAATAGCATTTTTCTTCCTAAATTGGGAAGTGGTCTTGGTGAGATTGTTATTATTTTCAACTCTTTGAGACCAGATTTGGGAGCGCTGCTCTGTAAGAGGCAATCATGTTTTTTTTTTCTTTCTATGCCATTCTTGAACGGGGCTGGAGTATTCTGGATCAAATTTTCCAGCAGAAGCTGGTGGTGTAGAACCCAGAACCCCTGTGGCACCCTCTCCAGAGGCMCGGTGGCTGAGTATGTTCTCTGCCAGCCTGAAGTCCACGTGAACGATTTGTAAATAATCTTAATTATCTGCTACCATGAATAGGATAACTATCACTTCCTAGAAGTCAAAAGACAAAYAGCAGTGATCCTGCAAACACAACCGCCTGGTCCCTTCCCTTCTCACTGGGAGATTCCACACTCACCTGGAAGGAGGTTTCTGCCCAGAGTAGGGAGGAGTCAACTCTAAGGGGGACAGATGATCTGTTATTTCGTTAACTCTTCAGTTTTGTTCTAAAAGTGATTTGAATTTTGTTGTTCTTAGACGTAACATAAATTATAGAAATTTTTTGAAAAAAATGCAAGTATAAAGAAGAGAATGATGGCCTGTTCTGTGCAACCACAGACTCAGTGGGCATTTRTTGAATACCTGTTCCATCTAAGGTGCGGAGACAGGAGAGTCAGGCACATGGCTCCTGTCCCCAAATAGCCAGAATGCAGTGCTGAGTGCCCTTGAGTCTGCAGGCCCCACRTAGACTCCTAAGCCCACCTGATTAAGGGACATTTACGCCATTTMAATTTTGTGTGTGGAGGGGGCTGCTGGGAGTTGCCCTCTCCCCCTCCCAGGCTAGGCAAGTTCTCACCTGCTGGGCTACACCCCAAGCCCAAGGCCTTTTTTTGTTTTTAATTTTAGTCACTTGGGTGGAGGGCTTTAGTCCTGTAATGATCCTTTTTCACAAGTATGTTAACTCTTGGAAGGTTCTGGAAGCCATTCTAACTAGCTCCCGTCTGCCTTCTCCTTACATCATTTTGGTCAGCTCAATCCAATGCTTGTGCCAGTGTGGGAAGAAATTTTGCAGAAGCAAGGGTGCCAGGAAAGACTGAAGGGAGAAAGCCTTTGGTTGCCATCCTCTTCCAGTACTGTGTGCTGGGTGTTCTGAGCTAGGTGGCTGCTCCAAGCACGCTGGGGCAAGGAGGGAGGGGATGTAGGGGAAAGGTAAATCACAGCCTGCGGCTAGCCACCAGTTTTTGCAAATCTAGTAGGGCAGGAACACAGCCCCACCTGTCCTTTTACATATCATCTGTGGCTGCTTTGATCTTAGATAAGAACTGAGTAGTTGCAACCCAGTTGTCAGGCCTAAAATACTTACTGTCTTTTCCGGAAACGGTTTGCACCCCTCTGAACTCCAGCCCCAGACCCCAAGCTCTCGGGGGCTTACCGTCAACCCCCTAGTGGTGCATGTGTAGTGCTTATACCAACTTTGCCCAGGTCCGAGCTGGGAAGTGGAGTTTGAGGTCAGTCCTGGGGCCCTGGCCCACTCAGGGAGAGCAGATGAGCTCAGAGATAGACCAAGGCTCTTTCCTGAAGGAACGGAACAGCTCCAGGCAAAGGGGAGACCTCAGAGGAGAGTCCCACTGAATTTATTGGTCTGGCTAAAGGAACCTGCCCATCCTTGAGGACTGGCCAGCCCTGGAAGCAGATAAAAGAAGACAGATTTAGTCAAAGGCACCACACCTGGGGAAATGGAGGCCACCTACCACCTGATGCGGTTATCTTCCTGATAGTGATCCCCTCCCTGTAGGTCTTCTGCACCTGGAAAGGAGGACCTAAGTAGTGGGGTGGCCTGGGGAGCAGCCTCAGGGCCCTTTCCAGCCTGGACATTGTTACTGCATCTCTAACTCAGAGCAGTGATCCGGCTCCTGTTTAATGAGAAGGCCCTCACTTGGGAGTCTCTGAGCATACTGCCATCAGACCTCCCCACTCTTTCCCATGTCTGCCATTTTCCACTCGCTGGTTCTGTGGTCACTCCTGCCACATGTGGTAGTAGAAGAGATGCCTCCTTAGCTGGGAGCCCTGTCTCCTCCCTCTTCCCAGAGACCCTCACCCCCACCCCCAGCTCCTCTCCTCTGTCTTCCCTTCTCACTTTCTGGTCTCTTCCTTCCTTCCATTAGCATTTAAAATACCTCTAGTAACTCCAGTCTTCTTTTTTTTTGTATTGCGGGTTGATGCCACCAGTGCTCCGCCACCAGCTACCTCCCATACTCTTTTTATTTTCTATTTTGAGACCAGGTCTGGATAAGTTCCCCCAGCTGGCCTCCACCTGGGATCCTCCTGCCTCAGTCACTGGAATGAGATGCATGTGCCCAGCTCAATTCAGTCTTCAGAACACTCCCCTCATTCTCTGATTTGCAGTCTCTATTTCCCCACCTCTCAGTCCTTGACCCACTTTTTTGTGCCCAGTATATTTTGGGGGAGGTACCTTAGATTGAACTCGGGGGCACTTGAACACTAAGCCACATCCCCAGCCCTATTTTGTATTTTATTTAGAGACAGGGTCTGGCTGAGTTGCTTAGCGCCTCACCGTTGTTGAGGCTGGCTTTGAACTCAGGATCCTCCTGCCTCAGCCTCCTTTGGGATTACAGGTGTGCCCTACTGAGCCCGCGGCTTCAGCTGCATCTGAAACCCAGAGGCTTCTGCCCT